TCTACAGTTGAGTCTACATGCTTTCCACGAAGTGAAACCGGCTGATGAATCAGGCTGTAGAATGTGCATAGAAAATGTAAATACACAAATATAACACAAAAAATAAATGTTTTTTTTTCTATAGAAATAAACAAAAATAAATGCCACGTAGATTTCAGAACATACTTACTTAACCCCCACCTCTTTTTTCTTCTGTCCCATATTAATAAAAAGCATATACATTTCTCATTTCCTGTACAATATAAGCTATAATTGCACAGTACCCGCATTTCATTACAAAACTAACAACAACCGTTTGCGTTGTGTAACATTTCTGGTGGAGGGTCTGTCAAATGCTTTTCTCCATGGAGATGTTATAACTTTGTCTGGAAAGTTTCACAGTACGGTATAAAACCTATATATTTAATGCCTGTTTCTCTATTATTTTTTTGAGCTATACAACCTGCAGTTAAATAAATGTATCATAGAGCTGTTTAATGTCATACTGTGGAACATTCCAGGCAGAGCAATGACATATCCAGAGAAAAAAGCAGGTAACATACCCTGAAACAAAACCTTACATAGTGCAATCTTACTGTGGGAAAGCTCATCTCTCCATAGTTCTGGCCTGTATCTTCACTTGTCTCCAGGGATATGTTTGCCATTCTGTGGAACATTCTCAGCAATGCAACAACATCTCCATGGAAACAAGCAGGCCCTCCACCAGTAAATAAATAGTGTCCTTTTAAGTGCAATTCCATCTGTTGCTCTTGTCCACCCTGCCAGCAGAGTGACCTATGTTTAGCAATTTAATTAATAGGAAACGTAAACAACATTATCTTAGGATCAAATTAGAGATGCTAATTGAAAGCGACCAGTTGTAGTTGCTGTCTCTTTGTGTCAGCTGGGTGCTTCATCAACCTGTCTACTCCTTTTAATTCCATTCTTACTCCTGCTCATCCCTCTCTTCCTTCCCCCACTACAATTTGTTCATCTGTAGACCTGTTCCTACCTGTTTCTAATCTGGTGCCATAAACTGTACTGTCCCGTATTTTCCAGGCGATGTCTCCCACTGTTCCTAATAACCCAAGTGTGCTTTTCTTCTACATTCACTCTTTGTTGTGGGTCTTAATCTGTTCTTGCACACATCAGAAAGAGCTATTAACCTGATCAAAACTTGTACAGCGGAGATCAAATGTGTATCAGCAGGGGAGCATGCTAAAAGAACGTGGAGTCAGCAGCTGGGACATCTGAGGATACGTAAACTAATGAAAAAGAACAATGTTGTGCAATTTTAGGCTATCGATTGGGCAGTTTTTCCAAGGATAGAGAGGAGAGACTGAAGACATATATATATATATACATACATACATATATATATATATACATACATATATATATAAAAATGTGTTTCTCACCTTCCACGGTGGTAGGTCTCTCTCACCCTCATTGAGCTCGGGTCGTCTACCAGAGGCCTGGGAGCTTGAGAGTTCTGCGCAGTATCTTTGCTGTTCCCAGTACTGCACTTTTCTGGACTGAGATGTCCATTGTTTTTCCCGGTATCTGTTGTAGCCATATATATATATATATATATATATATATATATATATATATATATATATATACATATATATATATATATATATATATATATATATATATATATATATATATATATATATATATATATATATATATATATATATATATATATATATATATATATATATATATAAAGCAAATGCTACTTGTTCTTAAATACTTTATTTCATCCAGTGTTACAGTACTGTTACTTTCCCGACTGTGAGGAAGTCTACAGCTTTATGTTGACAATATACAATAATTTGAATTTGAAATTCAGATAAGAAAAAACAAGTTGAAGTTTTTTCTCATTTTGTGGTCTACTCTTACTTCTTAAATGTCAGATTCTGTGTATTATTTACTGTCTTGTCTAGCTCTTACATAATCTGCTTAATTACAAATCAGATGTTATATCCTGAGCCAAAAGGCAAAGCTCTCAATTTACTGATCAGTCTACAATCCCCCCCTCACCTGTGGTCATGAGCTTTTGGTAATGACCAAAAGGACAAGATCGCAGATACAAGCGATTGAAATGAGGTTCTTCCGCAGGGTGGCTAGGGTGAGGAGGTCAGTCACACAAGAGGAGCTCAGAGTAGAGCCGCTGCTCCTCCACGTCGAGAGGAGCCAGCTCAGGTAGCTTGGGTATCTAATCCGGATGCTTCCTGGGCACCTTCCTCAGGAGGTGTTCAGGGCATGTCCTACCAGGAGGACTCCCCGGTGAAGACCCAGGGTACACTGGAGGGACTATGTCTCTCGGCAGGCCTGGGAATGCCTCGGGGTCCCCCTGGACGAGCTGGAGGACGTGTCTGGCTGACCCCGTGACCTGGCCCCGGACAAGCGGAAGAAAATGGATGGATGGATATTATATCCAGGAAGAATTTCTTCTACTTGAATTACGTTCTTACTTGAGCACAATTTTGGTTATTCATTGGACATTCAGTATTTTGTGTTTTATTTGTTGTAATAATGTTTTGTTTGACCTATAGTTGGATAAAATACTGCGGGTGAAATTGTTAATGAGCTATTTGCCATTTGTTCATTTCAAAGGTTTCTATTCAGGATTAAATAACATTAGATTTACTCTCAAAAGTGCTTATTACACTTTCTGACCCAAGAAAACATGCAGTTATAGTAATATTGAAATTAAATAGTGAAATTAGTTGCTGTTTTTGAAGTTAGTCAAGTCCAATTCAACGTGACAGAAAGCTTTTCATTCAGTCTGATTTTTGTCATTCATAATTTTCAAAGCTTCATTTTGTTGCCTTCTGACTTCTTGAAATCCTTGAAAATGTTTTGAAATATATTTTTAATAGCAGTGTTTGCCTCTCTCTTGCACACAGGCCACAGCACAGGAGCACGGTGATCTCATCTCTCCCCTCTCATCTGTGAGGGATTACTCTCTTAATCTGCCACACCAAAGTCTACTATTAGTACCCACAATCCAGCCTGGTATCTGTTACACTGTTTTGGTGGCATGAACTGAAGCGATGGGCAGAACATGGATTATGGCCATAGATACAATGTTCTCCATGTTCTTCATGTATGAAGTATTTGACATGTCAGTGCGGTTAATGGAGATTGTATTGTAAAATCACCAAATCACATGTTTTGTCTTATTAAAGATGCACTGCATAACATTTCTAGTGGAGGGTCTGACACCTGCTTATCTCCATGGAAAAGTTATTGCTTTGTCTAAAATGTTCCACCTATCACGAAGGTGACATTACAATTCAGGTCTGTGGAGAGTCGCCCCCATTCATAGAAAGAATGAATGTATTTTTGGGCAATAGAAATACCTGCAATGAATACAAGCTAGATGGATATGTTTAATGTTATAGCACAGAATATTCCAGGGAAAGCAATAACATCTCCATGGAGACAAGCAGGTAGCAAACCCTCCACCAAGAAAATTGCAAAGTGCACCTTTCATAAAACAGGCACTATTCCTCTCACTATGTATTAGACTAAGGAGGAAATGCAGCCTAAAGGTAATGAAACCCATAAAAGAATTATCTTAATATCTGTCGGTCCTGGTGCACCTGTGCCTTGGCCATTTCATGTGTATCTAACTGTATTAAAGTACTCTGCATTATTACACAATAAAAGAGAATCCACAGCTCAGCTTAAACCTGTGAGTGACTGAAATACTGTCTTTAGTGTGTACACAACACAAAAGCCTGATGGCGGTGCATGTGTGATCAGTCTCATGTTGCTGTGCACTGGGTTAATGAATAGTGCTGATACACATGGACACTCAGTGGTCCTCACACGCAGCCTTGGAGAACCCCAGCCTGCTGCGCCTGTTTCCATCTTGAACAGTGATAATGTGGTGTCCGCACTGTTAGCACACTCAGGTCGTGGACGGAGTATTTGCTTGTTTTAGCTGTTGCCTGGGGCTTGTGCTACCTAATGAGCTCCTCTCAAGGACACACAGAGCGGGAGACAAATGTGTGAACTCAGTAATATCTGTTTCCCTGAACTTTCACTTTGTGCACGAGACAATGTCATACTTTTGGATACTTATTTCAGTCACCAGCCATGTATTAACACAATGCAGGCACTGCACCGCAGAAACATTAAAGGTGCATTGTGTGATTTTTCTGGTGGAGGTTACATCAAATTATTTTCTCTGTGAATATGTTATTCCTCTGTCTGGAATGTTTCACGGTGTGACTTTAAACCTGTAATGTACTAAATGTACAGGAAAGCTGTTTAATATCATACTGTGGAACATTACGTGCAAAGGAATGACATGTCTATAAAAACAAGCAGGTGATGGATCCTCAACCAAAAAGTTCCCAAATAGTGCATCTTTAAAATCATTTTACAATAAAAAAGTGATTGAGGCGATACGGGGCTTTAGCACAGTCAGTTCTATGTTTGCATGTGTAGTCATTGAATGGAGACGCCTACAGCCCGACATGTTTCATTAAACTATTGGCATTACTTATTCTGCTGGGGTGTATGCATAATGTCAGGGGTGATTAAGGGAGAACCGCGCCCGCTGCAAATGTGCAAAGCGAGCGATTTAGTATCATGGACAATTACACATCTCCGCGGTGTCCTTGATATCATTTGTACATCTAAATGAAACTCAGCGCCGTGAAATGTGGTTCTTTCCCACTACGGGACGCATCTCTCCGCATCTCACGTGATGCTGTCAGTCCGTGTCACCTCCTTTACGCAAACTTCAACTTGGGTGCTCTGTTGCTCACCGCCGCTCCCTCTCCTCTCACCCGCCCCCTCCCGCTCCTGGCGCAGCACTACGGGTCCGGACTCAGACGGGACACCTTCACAGTTACAGTCTCCGCTCTGCTCTGTGTGCGCTTGTCCTCACCCGGAGCGGATCATGCTAAGACCGGAGAGACGGCTCAGTCCTCACGGCGTGCACAGAGGGGATACAGCGGCTTTGAGCTGAAGGACCGGAGCCACGGTAAGCTTTTTACGCGGGGAATTGGCGGCTGCTGCCCGGATGCGTCGAGGTCAGTATGCGCTTCAAACTTGTCCGAGGAGATGGGGTTTGGGAAGTCGTGTGTCCCAACTTATTCTTTAGGTTTATTTAACGAGGGTTTATCTTTTTTTTTTAATCAAATATGTTTTTTGTCAGTGCTGAAAACCGCCTTATTGTCCCAGCCCATCACTCTTTGGCTGTTATAAATTATCTGCATACACTCGTTGTACTGCATAGTAAATATGAACAAGGCACTTGAACGGCAAAACTCCGTGCGTAATTTGTTTAAAGCGCATTGTCTCCAGTTTTGCTGGTTGCGTAGAGAAGGTAACGTGATCCGAAATGAGACATGGGTCCATTCACCAGCTCCAAATGCAGTCACTGTTGACTTGGCCATGAATTTTATATAAGCTCTCTCTCTTTCTCTCTGACTCAAAGCGGAATACAGGATGACTCCAACTCCAGGAAAAGCCTCTATTCTCAATGCAAAAGGAAATTTCTTTTGTCGAATTCCAATTCAAGTTGCTGCTGCACATTCTTAAACCTGTGAAGACATTTCAGCTTCTTCAATTAACTTTTCACTCAGGAACAACAGCCAGAGGGAATAAAAAGTGATTAATAAATACTTCATGGAGCTCCCTTTGCCTTGTGTGAGGTGGAAATGAAACACCAGGGCTGTGACAGAAGTGATTTATTGGCTCTCACTACAGGATCTTATACCAAAGTCTAGAATAGCCATGGTACAATGCTTCAGCTGACTGCTTCTCCATTCACACATCCGGCCAAAGTTATGCGCCAGTTCTGACTTGTGTACTCTGAAAAGGCAAGGTGAAGGTTCAGCATGTACAGTGCACGAGAGGCAAGTTTGAATATATTGGAATTTGTTATGTAAAAGTGACAGGAAAAGTTCAAGGAAAGTGCAGAACAGATGTGATGCTATAAGCCAACAGAACTCTCCGAGGACAGCTCCAGATGTTTCAGCCTTTTCAGTCGGTCTATAAATCCTCATTTACCTCATTTTCCATGCAGCCACTGTTCAAAGCCTCTGATTAGCTCTTAATGTGATATGAGTTGTTTTTCCAAGAGCAAAACAAGAGGACACTGAGATCTTTTGAAATTATACATGATTGTTGTTCAATGTCAAATCATTGAGCTGACAGATTTATGAAGCAGTATTTTCTGTTTCATTCTATTTATGGTTTCCTCTCTAGATACGAGCAGCCCATACAATCCTCTGAAACCTTACGTATTATTCTTTCATATTACCTTATTGCTATTGAGAATCAAGTTATTACATTAAAAATTACATGGTCCATAGAGTTATATTTCCTCCAAGAGGAAATTCCCCTCCTGAGACCCAAGCCATTTTTATTATGGGTTTTTTAACCCTGGTTTTATGATTTTGATAATTCAAAGTTGCAACAGTAATGTTTCCACACTACTGCAAGAATATTTTAAAGGTCTAATGTTGCTCAAAATGTACTCTTGTGAGCTTTAAGCCGTGTTATAATGCCATTACCTCGTAGTTGTGTTTTGTTTCATTCACATATGTTTGAGTAACCTTTTCTTATTAAGCTCAAAATGGTCTGTTCCACCTTGTGATGTCTTGAAGTTGTAGTTTTCAAGTTAACACCGGTCTTTAATAGAGGCAGGCAATTCCAGGGCTGGAATTATCCAAATGATTCTAGTGAGTGGAGCATGTCCTGTATTACATGACATCACAAGGTGGAACAGAGTGTTTTCTGTTTGTGATGAGGAAACAATATCAACAATTTGTGTAATATGGGCTCTTTAATACTGGATCAGAGAGGTACTTACAGTACTGCATACTGCATGGATTGTAGTGCAAATATTGACTAGTAAAATCAATCTTTTCAATTGGACTTCTTAAAATAAGAACTCCTCTAGTGGTCAGTTACTTTAGCTTTTAGATTCTTTTTCATTGTTATGAGCTTTTGGCTGATTGGATGGAGCATTTTTCAGAATTAGAAGACCCTTTGTTTGCTTTTTTGTGATGTGGTCAGTGGGTTGGCAGAGGCCACTTTTCTGGTAATAAAAATTGTTTGTCCATTGCAGTTTTTGTTTCTCATAAACAATATAAACAACGGGAATGAAGCCCTGGATGGTGAAACAGACCTGTTGGTGTAGAAATATAGAATTGGATTGACACAAAATATCTGAGACTTTAACACACAACAAATCCTCCTGTACAACTCGGACAAGCCAGGCTGCCAATAAGTTTACACTTCAATTTCAGAGCCAGGAAACCATTTGGGAGCTAATGTTTGGTGTTTGTAACGCGGTTTGCAGTCAGTCTTGCAGCTAATAACTCACTGTTCTCACAATGTTCTTTTCAGTCCCAGCTCATTTTCTCACACCTGCCATAAAGAACAGCCCTGTCCTAAACGGGTCATACAGTTTTTTCTTTTGTTCAACCTGAGTGACCACAATAGCCCTCTTGTTACAGCTGCAGCTCAGATCTCTCTGTCTGTCTTGTTTCCAGAGAGAATGAGAGGGAGGGGCCACAGTACTGCAGTCTTAGTGAGGTGTGCTCTTCGTACTCTCCACCTCTAAAGTGTTTTCTGCCATTTTCTATAACGGTGTCTGTCTTTCACTTTCATCCTCATATGGCCTCTGCTCCAATGCCATCTACCTGGTCTAAACTATAGGCCTTCATATTACTGGGGTTGTATGTCTTTAACTGATTGGTTGATGGTGTCTTAGTTGACCAAAACTTTTATTAGTTGCTATATTTTTTGACTAGGAGTATAATGGGTTTAAATGGAGAACAGCAGAAAGGAGAGGGCCTGGACTTGTTTAGCTGGACATTTGGGAATAGACTGTTTATTCTTTCTTTTTGCATACAGTTGTACTAATATTTTTAGTTAGGTTTAGTTTTAGGTTAGGTTAATGCACGGGTCTCCAACTTTTTTCCTCCTGTGAGCTACTTTAATTTTGGTACTCACGGAAATTTTTGTATAAGAGCCGCAGCCTTACAGGGGGCACAGTTATATAGCTATAAAAAGAAAGATTATCCATTTATTAGTGCACAGAGTTAGGCATCGAAATGATACATATACAGTGGTAATAGGCATTTCATTAACAAAATTGTAGTTAATTTCAGCACAATACATATAATTCAGAAAACCCTTGGCGAGCTACTTGGAAGGGGATGGAGAGTTCATAGTATTGCTCCGAGCTACAGGTTGGAGACCCCTGGGTTAATGTAGTTGCCATTTGTAGTTAAAAAGACATTGGAAAAACATGTGCAAAGAGCTAAAAGTGCACAATGAGACAATGAAAATAAATTAAAATAAAATAAACAATAGCAATCATTACAGACGGCTTATGACACTGTGAAATAAACATGCAAAGATTAAGGAGCTAAAATATTAGTCAGTGCAGTTGAATCAAATATATTTTCTGATAAGAGATAGTTTTGTGATGCACCCTTTTAGCCGATGCACAGGGCAAGTCTTTAGTGGACCAAGAATTTCTTTAATCAACACTAGCCTTTCATATTACAGCCGATTTACAGATGACTTACCTTTACTTTACTGCATATCAGACAGTTAGCTCAGACATGTCCCAACTGTCCAAAAATCTCAAGATTTTATTCAATGTATTCAATGAAATGAAAGTTTAGCCACAGGGGTTGTAGGACTATATCTGCTGGTCCCAAAAGCTAACATATGGTTGTGGTTGAACTGGAAGAGCAATAAATGTTACACCTTCAATTTCTTGGAATTTAGTGCAGAGAGAAGATTTGTTCAGAGAAAATATCATCAAACCTTTCTCCTGCTTCTGAAGGTTCTTAATAGAGCTGTGTAATGCAGAAGTGACCTGTTATAAAAACACCAAATTAAGCTCTTTGAAGTCATTTTTCAGCTTGTCATTTGAGGAGATTAGATTGACAATGTGTCTCATTCTTAAAACCTGATTTTAAATTGGCACATATAAGGGCTGGAGCCAATGAACGAAATTCTTGCTTGATTAAAGACAGAGAAGTATTAAACAGCATCTTCATAAGTGAAAACACAGGTTCACGTCGCTTCAAAAACTCAACCTAATCCACTTTAGGCTTTCTCTTATTTGCTGTTGTCCAGAAAATTCCTCATAATTAGACGATTATGACACCATTTGTATTGTATTGTTTTATTGTGTTTTTGTATATTAGATTGCACTTTACATTGGATTTGTCCAGCTTTTGGGGCAGCTGCGGTTGTTTTTAAATCTGCTTTATGAATAAACTTGGCTTTACCTGACTTGACCATTTACTGATTAATCAACCCTAAATCCATAATGTTCCACCTCACATATGAATGCTTATCTGGGTACTGACCCTTCACCTGTCAACTCATCAGGTGCGAATCCAATCATACACTCTGCTGTTTGAAACCCTCACATCTCCCTCTGTTGTTTTCTGCAGGATGCCATGATGAGCGCAGGCCTTCCCTAGCCCTGCCAGACACAGGACACCCCCGGCTCCCTGGGCACAACACAATTGGCATCAGATTTATGCAGCTCTGCCCCTGATCAATCCTAACACACTCTCTATGCAGGATTCCCTTTTCCGAGGCAGGATTACCCACTGATCTACAAATAGCGTGACTGTAGCTGACCAGACACTCTGCAGTCTGAACTTTGCCATTTGGAAGTCAAAGCCATAGCTCATCCCCTCAGTGCTTTGAAGGAAAAAGAAGGAAGCCATATTTTCTGGATTTACATGCGTAGAGTTCTGGCGATTCTAAGGGCTGCAGGGTCCATCCAGTGACGCTCGTTTTTGCCTGAGCTGCTCTCGAGGTGAGCAGCGCGTGTCCCAGATGCCGTCATGCCCATCATCAGCAACGCCAACCATGACTTTAGCAATCTCTCTGTTAGCGACGACAGCAGCCTCGACCGCATCTTCACCGAGATCCCAGAGACTGAGACCATCAAGGTGAGGAACAGCCACATGTGGGAAGAGCTTTTGTTTGTTTTTGTTTTGAATAAGTGTTGAATTGTTGAAACTGAGAGAAATGTACTACACTGCAAAAACTTAAATCTAGCCTAATTAGGATTACTTGAATTAAGAAAGTTTTATCATGATTTGAGTAAACTTCATTTGACAAGTAAAATGATCTTCCAGTGGAACGAGACATTTTGTACTTAAAATATGAAAATACATCTGGCTACACTTAAGATAAGAAAAACTAAATCTAAAAAAACTACTAAAGAATATCTTTGCACTTCAAATTATAAACAAATCTAATGTTAATAATAATAATAATAATACATAACACTTGTTTAGCGCTTTTCATGACTCTCAAAGACGCTTCACATTGATCAAGACAGACACAAAAACAAATGAAAGAAATAGATAAACAGGAGAAGCAGTTATTTAAAGGCAGTAATGTTGCTTGAATAAAGAAAAACACACTTATTCCAATGATAGACAATTTTACTTGTCAAGTTGAATCTACTCAAATAGTAAAATGTCCTTAATTTAAGTCGTTTTAACTTACCTAGATAATACTCTAAAGCCCTTTTACAATCTGCACTGCTAGATCAGTTTAGTTTTGTGGACAGATTTTACAATCCAATTTATTCGTAACCTGATTACAATATTCCACTGTGCCAACTCAGTTTTAAAAGCACGCTGAACCAGAATGTTTGAACCTTATTTTGTCTGGCTTCTGAACTGAAAAAGACGCAATACTGTTTTCAATAATAGGTGGTTGGAGGTATATTGTCTAGAGAGAGAAATCTGCTAAATGAAAGTGTATCGTCTGTAATAAGAAGGCTGTCTAACTTTCACATTTGTGAGTAACTTGAACCTCAAAACAAGACACAGTTATGGGCAAGTTTCAACACATTTCTGAAGTGTTATTGGAATAATCACTTAATCACTCATAAATTTTACTCATTTGTAGACAGTAGTAGTTTTTTGATGTTGGTAACCACAAGTGCAGAAATGTCAACAATATCAATTTCACATAAAATTAGGTCTGTCACGATAACACATTTTGAAGCATGATATATTGCTACAAAGATATGCTGCAATAAATAATAATATTAAAACTACTTCATGCCACTGTCAGAAAGCAGGATAATCCCAGTAAATCATTTTTAAATAGACATTATCACTAAAAGCCTGGGCTGCAGTAGATAAATAACAGAATCAAACAATAATGAGCCATAAAAGTCACTTATTCAACCTTTTACGGCTCATATCTTCTTGTATTACTACAAAAATACTCAAAATCTCCCCAATTTTACAAAGAAATTATACACATGATAAATACTGAGCCTCAAAATATATTGTTCCAGCTATCATATATTGAACAACAAGTCAATATATTGTAATTACTGTGACAAGCCTACGAAAAACATCTGAAAATTGCGATGTTCAACCTTCTTTTTGTTTACTTTCTTCACAGGGCGTCTACTACCAAAGGGCTCAGTTCATCCGCCGACCTGAGGACCTGCTGTCCATCGACCACGCCCTGTTAGCAGTGATCAACGTGGGGGGAAACCGCTACACCTTCCCCTGGAGCACCCTGGAGCAGTTCCCCCTCACGCGCCTGGGTCGTCTGTGCGGCTGCCGCTCGCCGAGGACATCGCCAACGTCTGCGATGACTACGACGAAGCGCGAAAGGAGTTCTTCTTCGACCGCTCGCCCTCCGCCTTCAGAGTCATTCTCAACTTCCTGGCGGCAGGCAAACTGCGTCTACTCAGAGAGATGTGCGTTCTGTCTCTGCACGACGAACTGACGTACTGGGGCGTGGAGATGGCGTACATGGAGCGGTGCTGTAAAAGAAAGATGTACACTCGGATAGAGGAGGTGAACGAGCAGGAGAGGAGGGACGAGGAGAGGAGGCAGAGGAACGCCATGCAGAGGGTCCCGGTGGAGGAGACCCGCTACAGGAAGGTGATGAACTGGCTCAGAGACATGGTGGAGAACCCGCAATCAGGTTTACCAGGCAAGATCTTCGCCTGTATGTCAGTTATCATGGTGGCAGTGACAGTGGTGAGCCTGTGCATCGGGACTATGCCGGATCTGAGAGAGGAGGAGGACAGGGTAAGTGTAAATGTGAAATATCATGTTTTTATACCAGATACAATGTGCATGTTTAGGCCTGTCACGATAATTATAATATCGACTTATCGTTCAGTACCTGAAAGCTGGAATAATACATTTTCAGGCTTAGTATTCAGTATCGTGTGTACAATTCAATTTCTTTGCAAAGTTGGGCAGATTTGGGGTATTTTTTGGTTGTTATATGATAAGATTTGATCTGTAGCGTGTTGAATAAGTCACTTATATGGTTAATTATTGCTTCATTTTGCTATTTATTTGTTGCAGCTCATTATACAGTAGATTTATTATTTCTTTTTTTTCCAATTTTGAAATTTTACATAACAAAAACAAAAAAGACCCACTCACATCCCACCCCTCTCAAAACACACAACTACACAAAAAAACTACACAAAAAACAAAACAAAACACTGTATTATTGTCAGTTGTCACTTTGATAAAGTAGTTTCACAAATATTGTTTACAGTAGCAATATATCACGCTTCAAAATTTGTTATCGTGACAGGCCTATGCATACTACATTTTTTATTGCACCTTTTGGGCTAAACATGCAGTAAAGTAATGCTGTTATCTCAGTTTAAACCAGAATTTAGAAATTACAAAAGGCCAAAAAGACACTATTGTTTGTCAAAGCAAAAATGAAACAGCGCTTAGAAAGGTCAATTGGTTAAAAAGACTAAATAAAAAACACGGCTCATACAACATGAAACTTTTATGAATGATAAAACACAAAAAGATAGACCATTTCATCTGCTGAATAATTTTTCAAAACATTGTGAACATTGTTACCTTTCAACGGACCTATTTTACACTATTTTCTGATCTGTGGTAATGTTGCCTCCTCATCACAAACATACCTGGAGTTGTGTTTTGTTTCATTTACACATGTTTAAAACGCAAATCCTGCATATTTAGGCTGAGTTCTTCTCTGAAACAGAAAACTCTCTGTTCCTCCTTGTGATTTCATGTGGTAATACATTAGAGTGGTAAATGGTCACATTTGTCTATAGCGCTTTTCCACCTTCAAGGCACTCAGAGTGCTTTACAACAAGGGACCACTCACCCATTCACACACACACTCATGCACCAGTGTATGCAGACACTGGGGGTGAGGTGGGTTAAGTGTTTTGCCCAAGGAAACAACAACAGCATTCATCTGAGGGGCTGGAATCACATCAGCCAACTTGTGGGTCAGTGGATCTGACCACTCAACCAGTGATGTTTTATGATGAGAGCGGAATTCGAACCGCCAATCTTTAGATCAGTGGACAAATGCTCTACCAACTGAGCTGCTGCCGAATCATTTGGATTATTTTAGACCTGGAATTGCCAACCTCTACTGAACTATAGTTAAATGTAGCTGTTAACTTGAAAGCCACCGCTATATAACTTGACAAGATACAGCAGAGCATTCTGAAATTTGGAGATTTAGACAGACTAATAATAAATATGTGTGAATGAAACAAAACACAACTTAGCGTTTGTTTCTGAGGAGGTAGCAACATTATAACATGGTTTAAAGCTCACAAGAGTCAATATTGCATAATATAGGACCTTAAATGCCTTAATTATTTAATTACTCTGAGATTCTATGGAATGGCTCAAGAAATCTAATCAGCCCAATCGATTTTCATTTGTGTCTTTCCCTCATCTGATCACACTACACATGTTAGCATGATGTAGCACTACACTAAATGACTCACTGAATAGTCTTGCTAAATTGAGTATCAGATTTTCTATAAGAAAATCCATCCTCTGTAACTTATCACCAGAGCTGATCTCCTTTGCTAATTTATTATGCTTCAGTGTAATAGGCTCCATGAATTAGCTCTAATTTACAAAAGATTGATTGTGACTTTTGCCAGAGTTAATTTACAGCCCAGAGAATCATTTATTCTGAAGTTTATAATTTGGATGATTTAAGCATTTCACAACTTTCCTGTTTGTGGTCTATTTAGAGTGCACCGTAGAGTTATTTTGGTCCTGAATGAACATGGTAACGCTTGCTGCCAAATTGTCAACTATTGCCTGAATGTCTCCCGGTCGTCACAGCCGCTTAAATCTCCCAGTGGGACAGGCGTGCAGTGTGTAGTCATAGCATGTGCCTTGTGAATTCTGTCTGTCCAAAGCACTGAATAATGAAGCTCAAAGCTGCTCAGTCAGGCCTGGCCATTCTCTGTCAGTAAACACTTGGGAATAATGAAATGTCCTTACTGTATCAGACACACAAAGACACTCGCGTTTGGACGCACACTCAATTTCACACTTAAGAAGAGACACATCAGACTGTCATGGCCGCCACCATGAATTGACAGTGGTACAGAGCTTATACACTGTGACCGATCTGAAGCTTTGTGAATCCTGCATTCATTTACACTACAGTGAAGTGGCGTCCTTGAGTCCTTTGTTGTGTCTGATGTGTGGGGCTTTGTTAGTATGTTTGGCTGTTAGGGAGATAAGGCAGAAATTAATGGCCAATCTTTTATAACATTTTATAACCAGTGCAGAGAGAGAGACTAGACCTGTCTCTTAAAATGACTGTGCCAGAAGTGCATCTGTTCTTTTTCATAATGAGTTCCAATATCATTAAAATCTTTTGAGCTCTGAGTACTTTCCAGTACTTGATACCAATCAATACTAATACAGAGATGAAATAAAGAACTGGAGACAATGCAGGAAACATAAACAACATGTCACATTAATCTGTATTATCCCAAGATTTTTATTTATTTTTTCCAGTAACTTTGCAACAGCATTGTAAACATGAGCTGTAAACATGAGATGTTCAGCCCACAAGTGTAGACTCTAGCAAGTAGTTAATACATTACTTGATGAGAAGGATACACATCTTTTATTATAATAGGATTTCTAGACCTGGGTATGTCAAACATTTTGAGCCCAGGGACCGCTTATCAGTATGAAAAACTTCAATGACCCTCTATCTATCCCCAAAACAAATTTAAGGAGAAACTATGTATAAATGTAATATGTATGTATAAAACCACATTTACTGTGTGACTATTGTTTACATCAAAATTATACACTGGGGACTGTATATAATTATAGTAGTTAAAGGACAGTCTGGAATTTTGGACATAGGACCTCATTTCCTAGTGAGCCAGAGTGCAGAGGTTGCTTGTGTTATGCTAGTGCATGTCAATGGCCATAGTTATCCTGCCACTAAAAACAGTCTTACCCACTCCACAAAACACCCAAAGTAAATCTATTATTATGGCAGACTGTCGATGTAAATGTCTGCGTTGATAGAATAATGTCTGAAATAAAACTAACCTTGCAGCACATGAATCGTCACATGTTGAGGGACTATTTTCTCAGCAGCAGCAGAATTTTACTTTGCTGGTAAGTTAGGTAGGTGCTAGGTGATATCAGTCCGCCGCTGCCAAGTTTTCTATGAGGAAAACAACTCGCTGCTGCTCAGACATAAATCCTTCAAATGCAAGGCTGGTTTTACTTCTAAAATTATTCTATTGACACAGACATTCACATCAACAGTCTGGTGTAATAATATATTTGCTTCGGGTGTTTTGTGGAGTGGGTAAGACTGTTTTTAGTGGCAGGATAACTATGGCCATTGACATACACTAATCTAGCACCAGCGACCTCTGCAAATACAAGAACTGGATGGAATATTTAAAAAAGTGTCTCCACACATCTCCAACACTCTGGTTCACTAGGAAATGAGGTCCTATGTCCAAAATTCTGAACTGTCCCTTTAAGTAATGATCAGCATTATCACAATTTGGCCCAGGGATGCCCAGGGACACTTTGAGAACCGCTGCTCTATATATTTATAAAACTTAATTATTGATATGTTAATCACTATTAAAGGGGCAACTCTGTTCAGTTTAATTAGACTTTTATTTTCCTATCTTAAAATGATGTCAAAGCTGGACAGTACTTTGGGCACCTCTAGAGATATTCTTCTAACTTTTGTCAGCCGGATTAGAGCTCCAACATATGAAGTCTGTCTGGGGTGGATTCAAAACTTGAGCATTTCATGGTTCAGACAGCTTTAAGAGCCAAGACTCAATTCTACAAAAAAAGAAAATGTGTCCTCTGGCTGTATGTGTGTGCCAGCCATACTTCTAGAGACATCACCCGGAGCATTAACCTAGTATTGATTTTGATATGAGCGTTCCCGGGCAGCCAAAAGCCCCGGTACAGGAGAGAGTATGAGAGGAAGGCACCCACTGATGAATGGCTGATGAGCTGGAGAAAGCTGCTGGAGCTCCCCCCTGGTCTGGTGGCGGTCACAGGATCACAGATGGAGCAGGCTGAGTGGGCATTTAGACATTTAGAGCACAGGCTTGTGATTCAGAGACACTGCAGACTCATACAGGAGAGTGAGAGCTTTGACACAGGCCTTTTACAGCCTCTGATAGGACCAAGCTGTATCCCAAATCTACAGGCAAACAGATATAGAAATGTTTAAATATGTGTAAACCAAAAAACATTCTAAATTCCAGCATGGAGGCAGCTGGAGGCAAAAGTGAAGTGGAACATCATGTGATTTCAATGGGGAAACTGGGAGTAACTTCAGAATATCACCACAATATGAAAAATCAAAGGAAATAAAGCAAGCAATAGAAAACCACTCAGATACAAGTGATTCACACCAGAGCCTGGTTTAAAAACATTTACATTTGTGTTTTAGGTTATTTTTTAATTCAAGAAGAGATTATAATTAAGGCTGTGCAAAAATATCAAAATATCAATATATTGTATTGTTTAATGTGATGATACAGTATCGATATTGTGAGCTGCTGTATCGATGTATATTTTGATATATGTTACTAAATTATTTTATTACAGTGCTACAGTTTTGTTGCTAGTTTAGTGGAAGGAAACTCGTTTATGTGGCACATTTGACATTTTCACTGTTTTGATGATTAAAATGAGAATTTTTCATATTAACTTTGCACAAGAAATGGTTTAACAAAGACTTTTTCTATCATGGCCAT